TCAGTTAATTCCAGTCACTGCTTTCAAGTGCATGATGAAATGCACAGACATCTTGCTTTCATATGAGATGAGACTACAGTTGCTCATTGACAAATAGATATCACTAAATAAATGCAGAATTATATAAATAATGGTAAACCACAAAAGCGTAGATACCCTTGCTGTGAGGAATTTAAAAAAAAAATGTGTTTTCATGTGTTGCACTAGCTGGTATAACCAGCCTTACCAGTGCCAGGGCCGCCATCAGGGGGTGATAACCATAATGGTTGTCACGGGCCCGGCGGCCCTGAGGGTCCCGGTCAGCGCTGTGGCCGTGGTATAGCGCGACCGGCCCCCTTTAGAGAAAAAAAAAAAGCAGCCGCAAGTGCTGCTGGGAGGAAGTGGTCACTTCCTCCCAGCTCACTCCGCGTGGGAGGCGCGTGCGCGCGCACCAGTGAAGAGGGAGAGCCAGGCAGTGAAGAGGGTGCCCCGCTGACTCCCATCATCCCCAGCCACCCTACTGCAAAGAAAAAGTAAGAGACAGGAGGGTGGCTGGAAAACGAGCTGTGTGTATGTCTGTCTGTCTGTATGTCTGTGTATGTATGTGTATGTATGTATATGTCTGTATGTCTGTCTGTCTGTATGTATGTATATGTCTGTGTATGTCTGTGTATGTATGTCTGTCTGTTTGTATGTCTGTATGAATGTATGTCTGTCTGTATGCATGTCTGTCATTATGTCTATGTATGTATGTATGTCTGTATGTATGTATGTCTGTCTGCATGCATGCATGTCTATGTATGTATCTGTCTGTGTATGTATGTCTGTCTGTATGTCTATGTCTGTCTGTATATCTGTATGTATGTATGTATGTCTGTGTGTATGTCTATGTATGTATGTCTGTCTGACTGTATGCATGCATGTATGTCTATGTATGTATGTCTGTCTGTATGCATGTCTGTCTATGTCTGTCTGTCTGTATGCATGTATGTCTATGTATGTCTGTCTGTATGTGTATGTATGCATGCATGCATGTCTGTATGTATGTCTGTCTGTATGTATGTGTATGTCTGAATGTATGCATGCATGTCTGTCTGACTGTCTGTCTGTCTGTATGTATGTATGTATGTATGTGTATGTCTGTATGCATGCATGTACGTCTGTATGTCTGTCTGTCTGTGTATGTATGTCTATATGTCTGCATGCATGTCTATGTATGTCTGTCTGTATGCATGTATGTATGTCTATGTATGTCTGTCTGTATGTCTGTATGTATGTATGTTTGTATGCATGTATGTCTATGTATGTATGTATGTCTATGTATGTCTGTCTGTATGCATGCATGTTTGTGTGTATGTCTATGTATGTATGTCTGTGTGTATGTCTATGTATGTATGTCTGTCTGACTGTATGCATGCATGTATGTATGTATATGTATGTATGTCTGTCTGTATGTATGTCTGTGTATGTATGTATATGTCTGTATGTATGTATGCATGCATGTATGTCTATGTATGTATGTATGTATGTATATATGTATGTCTGTATGTCAGTATGAATGTATGTCTGTGTGTATGTGTGTATGGATGTCTGTATGCATGTATGCTTGTCAGTATGTCTGTATATATGCATGTATGTTAGTCTGAATGTATGTATGTATGTATGCTATTATGAATGTATGTCTGTGTATGTCTGTATGCCATTATGAATGTATGTGTGTATGGATGTCAGTGTCTGTATGTCTGTATGTATGAATGTATGTGTGTGTGTGTATGTATGTATGTATGTCGGTGTCTGTATGTATGTATGTATGTGTCTTTATGTCCTCATGCATGTGTGTTTGTATGTATGTGTCTGTCTGTCACTATATATGCATGTGTGTATGTCTCAGTATGTGTGTGTCAGTATGTATGCCTGTATGCGTGTATGTCTGTTTCGTATGTGTGTCTGTTAGCATGTATCTGTGTCCTTTTGTATCAGTGTGTGTGTTTGTGTCTGTGTGTGTATTCCTGTGGGCGGTATTTGGAGGCGGGCCCCAGGGGGCCCAGATCCTGAGCTGAATCGGGGCCCCAAAATTTCTGGTGGTGGCCCTGCCAGCGCCTCTACTGAATGCCTGATGTGACTACAGGCACAAGGACTTACTGAAGAGCCCCAAATAAATGCAAACTGTGTGGCTAGCTCTTTGATTGTATATAATGAGATTAATCTTTACCTCCAGAGGGAGAACAGCTGGCAATTTCTTTGTTTCATGAATTTCCTTGTTTCATCCCAGTTTTTGTGATGTACACTATGGCAAGTGACCTATATGTAGACAGTCTAGTACAGGCAACCTTCTGCACTCCAGATGTTTTGGACACACCTCCCATGATGCTTAGCCAGCATTATGGGTCCAAGAGCATTATGGGGGATGTAGTCCACATCATCTGGAGTGCCGAAGGTTGCCTATCCCTGATCTGGTTAGGAAGACTGAGATTCCCTGAGCATGACTGATTCACAACTTCTTTGACTACAGCCATATACTGTATATGTCAGGCTGACTGTAAAAATATAATATCATCCTTTCACTATAACATCCAGGGGTTGAAGGTACAATCCTAGCACCATAATCACTACAGGGCACAATAGTGCTCATAGTGCCAGGAGAGCCCTGGTGCCCGCCTGTTGTAAATAGTCAACCCATTTTAGAAAAGTTTTTCCTCTTACAGGGGTCCTTCGGGCACAACTTCTTGTGTTTGCTACAGCTACAGGAGAGCAGGAAGCTACTGTTGAGGATTTTTTGTTACCTCTCCAAAACACTCTAGGGGCTTGGTAACTTACCTGGGATTCGCTGGGCACCAGTCACAGCCTCCAAGAAGTAGCTTCCAGGCTAGATTAGTCCAGATAGCTTCCGGCCCTGAAGGAGGTGACTAATGCCTGGAAGACTTCAGGTCAGTAGTCAAAAGTTTGGAGTGCAGCTGGGCAATCTTGGCACCAGTGCACTATAGTGGTTTTGGTGCTTGGTGTGTTCATTTAGCATCTGTGTTAAAGTATTGGCTTCATGCAAAGATGAGTAAATAAATACATTTATATGGCTAATAAAAGCAAGGTGAATGTTTGAAATGCACATTGACATTATACAGTTTGAACACTAGAGGGTGCTACAAAGTCACAAATGGGTGTTTGTGGCATTTTATTATTATGATTTTATTTTTATTTTTTTATTTAATGAAAATGTTAAATCCACAAGAACAGTAAGAAGTAGAATAGCAAAAACCTGCAATGTATTGCACAGGAACACATGATTCATTTTCTGGGTTTGTTTAACTTGAGTAAATAACCTGGAAAGTGCCCTGTTAAAAGAGAAAGGCCATTACATGTATATATGTTACTATACTTTTCCCCTATATTCAACAAATGCATGTTTGTTTGAGCTGAAAAATAAATGAAATGTACAAATCAATACTGCTGTATTTGCCTCCATCTTGTCTACCTGTCAGTCATAGTTATCATTGTTGCTTTATCTGCCATTGAATCTAAATAGTAGAGGACAAGAAACAGAAACAATGTGCTCAATTCAGAACGCTCAATAAGAGGGACAAAGGGGACAAAGTTAGTACAACGAAAATGACCCAAAAATCAGGTACTGATAAAATCGAGTATATTGGGAGGCATGCAGCAAGTTATGACAGTATATATCACGGACCTTTAATCTGACTCCCAATCATAACTGATTTCATCACTAGTGTGCCAGTTATGACCATTTTCCACTCGGAATCTTTCCGTTTCGCCTCCTCTTACGCGCCGTGGCTTTGCCTGGATGAAGAGGTGATTTTTTATTTTTTTTTGTGTTTTATTTAAAAGTAATTCTTGCAGAGAAGTGATGGTTGCCCTTTAAGCTCACCAGCCATCTATGGATGTTTCATTTTGAATAATTGTTCCTGGTTCATAATATTGTCCGTAAATTCTATTAACTTTGGTAAAACAAAGGGAAATTGCTTGCAATTAAAGCTGTTGATGCAATTGACACAAAATAAAATAACTGTAATTTCTTAGTGCACTCCTGGGAGGACAGCGCAAGTTTTATGAATTTTGTATTAAATTAGATATGAGTCACTGATCTTTCTGTGTCTTTGTCTACTGAACTGCATATGCCAAAGGAATCCGCCTATAAGATTAAATTGCTCTTTGTATGCCGGAGTAATATTTTAAGATACAAAACTTACTCAGGGTCATCACGTTCAATCTTGCACTCACCCTGCTGATACTTACAGTAATAATTTAGAATGAGTTAACTAAGAGCAGTGGCGTACATACCGGGGTCGCAGGGGTCGCGTCTGCGACCGGTCCAGACCCAACAGGGGGACTGGCCGCCCTGCGACCCGGTATGTATGCCAGTGTGGCCAGTCTCTTCTCCTGGGGGGCCCAGGAGCTGGCCACCTCAGGGCCCCCGAGGCTGGCCCTGTTGTCACCGGCGGGCGGGCGGGCTGGTGGGCACGCGTGCGCGCGAGGGAGCACTCTCCCCTGAGTGCTCCCTCTTCAGCTCCCTCGCGCACCGCACTGATACTGGAGCCGGAAGATGACGTCATATTCCGGCTCCGGCATCAGTGAGCGGCGCGCGAGGGAGCTGAACAGGAAGCACTCAGGGGAGAGCACTCAGGGCGCCCCCGCCAGCCAGCCAGCTCGCCCGGTGACACCACTGAATCCCAGGGAATTCCTCAGCTCTCCCAAAGGTAGGAAACAACCATGTGAGTGTGTGTTAGAGTGTGTGTGTGAGTGTGTGCCGTGGCGTACATACCGGGGTCGCAGGGAACGCGGCTGCGACCGGGCCTGTCCCACCAGGGGGCCCGGCCGCCCTGCGACCTGGTATGCATGCCAGTGTGGCCAGCCTCTTCTCCTGGAGGGCCCAGGAACTGGCCGCCTCAGGGCCCCCCGAGGCTGTCCCTGGTGTCACCGTGCAGGGCTGGTGGGTGGGCGGGCAGGCGGGCAGGCGGGCAGGCGGGCGTGCGCACGAAGGAGCACTCTCCCCTGAGTGCTCCCACTTTAGCTCCCTCACGCACCACACTGATACCGGAGCCGTAAGATGTCGTCATATTCCGGCTCCGGCATCAGTGAGCGGCGCGCGAGGGAGCTGAACAGGAAGCACTCAGGGGAGAGTGCCCGGCAGCCAGCCAGCTCGCCCGGTGATACCACTGGACCCCAGGGAATCCCCTCAGCTCTCCCAAAGGTAGGGAGGCTGGGGGATTAAATAAAAAAAAAACGTGTGTGTTAGAGTGTGTGTGTGTGAGTGAGTGTGTGTGTTAGAGTGTGTATTTGTGAGTATGTGTGTGTGTTAGAATGTGTATGTGTTAGAGTGTGTGTGTGTGTTAGAGTGTGTGTGATGGAGAGTGTGTGTGTGTGTGTGTGTGTTAGTGTGTGTGTGTGTGTGCTAGTGTGTGTGTGTTAGTGTTAGAGTGTGTCAGTGAGTGTGTTACTGTGTGTGTCTGTTACTGAGTGTGTTAGTTTGTATGCGTCTGTTAGTGAGTGTGTTTTGTAAGTGAGTGAGTGTGTGTCTGTCAGTGAGTGTGTATGTAAGTCTGTCACTGAGTGTGTGTCTGTCAGTAAATGTGTGTGTCTGTTAGCTAGTGTGTATGCGTCTGTTCGTGAGAGTGTGTGTGTGTGTCTTCAGTACTTACCTTTCTCCAGCGCCGGACTCCCTTGGCGCTGGGGATCCCTCCCCCTCTCAGCTCCAAATGCGCATGCGCGTCAAGACCGCGCGCGCATTCAAACCGCCCATAGGAAAGCATTACTCAATGCTTTCCTATGGACGTTCAGTGTCTTAGAATCGCAGAAGATCCTCTAGCGGCTGTCAATGAGACAGCCACTAGAAGCTGGATTAACCCTCAGTGAAACATAGCAGTTTCTCTGAAACTGCTATGTTTTCAGCTGCAGGGTTAAAACTAGAGGGACCTGGCACCCAGACCACTTCATTGAGCTGATGTGATCTGGGTGTCTGCAGTGGTCCTTTAAGTGTATGTGTATCTGCATGCACTGGCGTACATACCAGGTGCTCGCCGCCATGTGTTGCGGCCCCAGCCCGTGCAGAGTAAGCGCGTGGGGGGGGGCCCACGGATTAGTTTACGCACCAGGGCCCCATGGGTTGTGTGTACGCCACTGACTAAGAGTAAACAAAATTAAGCATTTCAGCTGTATGAACATACATAGATAGATCGAGATAAAACCCTTTAGGGGAATTGCATGTCATCTACAAGTACAATTATTTATAAAAGCCCCAATATATCCTGCATCGCTATACAATAGGAAACATTTAATTCTAACACAATATGTATGATTTACGGAAACAGTAGATGAACTAGAATGTAAGCTCATGGAGCAGGGCCCTCCACCTCTCTGTTCCTGTACGTCCAGTTGTCTGGTTACAACTACATGTCTGTTAGTCCACCCATTGTACTGCGCAACGGAATCTGATGGCGCCATATAAATAATAAAATAATAATAATAATGAAGAGGGTCCTGCCCAAACAAGCTCACAATAAAACTGATGTTACTGGGATCATGCATAATTAAAGGTGATCTTGTTCTAACAGTCATAGTTTTATAAACACAGCATTCCATGACCAGTCCAATGAGAAACAACCATGAATCCTCTGCACAGGATTAATCACAATTTATTGCATCTAGTATATACATTTCATGGCATTTTGCGTGCCACATAAAATATCTGCAGTTAATCTTATCAGCCTCCCAGATGTTCTGCCATTCAATTATTTTTACTACATTTTTCAAATAATTTATAATTGTATGTAGTGTTTCCAGGACATATTCTTCTTATCATATACGTGTCAGGATATAAAGCAGAAGGAGCTCAGAATGTGGTAATTACTTAGTAAACCGAAACTAGGAGCCACTAGGGACAAGGTAAAGGCAAGGTCAGAATAGCAGGTCGGTCCAGACAGCACAGCTTCATAAATGAGTAAAAGAGCAGAAAGGTCAGGCAACAAAGGGATCTAGCAGGAACACTGGTGTAGCCCTTTGGGGGGCACAGTACAACTGAGCAAAGAGGACTGCACAACTGACAAATATATAGGTAGAAGTGACAAGCCTCCTTGCCTCACCGACACTCCCCCAATACCCTTCTCCCCCTTAACTTTTTAAATACACCAACATATTGTTATGTGGCATAGAATAGGTCTATGTTGTGTGGGCAAAAGCCTTTTTTTTTATTGTTATTTAATTTTATTACCTCCTCCCTGCATTGTGCAGGCTGCTAGCAGCTTGTATAGTGAAGATGGGGCCCAGCAGACCCAATCTTCAGTCTCCTGGAGATGCTCTCCTGAAACATTACCACTGCAGTGCTCTGACAGCTGAGGCTCATGAGAGTTGGAGAGGACCTGCCAAAGGCTGAAAAATGAGTCTGCTGGGCCTCACCTTCAGTATGCAAGCATGCAGTACCTGGGGATTTGCCATAAGGCCACCAAGGCTATGGCCTAAGGGTGACACATTGGACAGGGGGCCCAGAAGTATTCTGGGCTGGAGCAGTGATTGGACTGTTGAAAAGCCCAGGGTCAGGTGGGAAGGAGACATGGACTTAATGTAGTGGTTCTGGTGTCTATAGCCTGTCCCTGCAGGCCTTTTAATGTAAACACTGCGGCACTGCAGCACTGGCATTAGATAACATGGCAAATCATATGGGTGGGGCATTGTGATGTCACTTGGGGGAGGCGGCAAATTTTACATTTGCCTAGGGCGGCAAAAATCCTTGCACCGGCCCTTGGCTGGAGGGGGCTGTGTGAGCTGTGGCTAGTGGTAGTTAGGGTGCACGGAGGAAAAGTGGGGCGGAGCTAAGCAAAATCGGAGGCGGGGCCAAACTGGCGATTTGGGGGGGGGGAAGGGGGTGCCAAGCACAGGACCCGCCCCGGGTGCCAAATGCTCTAGGTACGCCCCTGCGTAAGACGCAAACACGATTGTTAAACTGGCAAACAGAAATTTATACCCTAACAGCCCAAAACCAGGTCCAACCAACCTCGCAACTGCGAGATCAAATATCCCTCTTACGCCAAAAACTCTGGCAAAATGAGCTTCACAAAGTGGGGAACCATCTGAGGAAACTTAAAGCGGCTCACCACTCCCAGGGGAACCGGGCAGGTAAATTATTAGCACTTCGGCTAAGAAAGAAACAACAGGCACAAAAGATAGCATACCTAAACGCCAAGACGGAGGGGGTGGGGGGGAATAATGATACTTACAGACATTAGCAATGAATTTGCAAAATACTATTCTGACCTAACACACACAAGCCCTCGGCCATAAATATTTAGACAAACTACAATCGCCTACTCTGATGACACTACAACATAACACCCTATCTAAAACCAATCACCCCGGAAGAAATTATAGCTACAATAAAATCCTTGCCAAAAGGCAAAGCCCCAGACCTGGATGGCTTTGCCAACTCTTATTACAGCAAATTCTATGTGCTGGCACCGCGACTAACCTCTTGGAGGCAGTTCTACATAAGTTTGGGCTTCCTGGGGGCTTCATCTTGGCAGTCAGGGCGTTGTACTCAGCACCGACAGCACGAGTTTTAAACTTGACCCCTTGTCGCCTCTCCTCTATATGATGGCATTAGAACACCTAGCAGGGACAATCCAGGTGAGCCCTTCCATCCATGGAGTGCACATAGACAACAAAACATACACACTGAGCCTCTTCGCAGACGACATACTATTGACACTGATGCAGCCACACATTACACTACCCAACCTACTACAATGCATACAAGACTACAACAAAGTATCCTACTACAAACTCAATTTAACAATGACACAAGCAATGGGGGTCAGCATACCTGGGCGTCTTATGCAGAACTTGAGGTCATTCTTTAACTTTGATTGGAGGGAGGACTTTGTTACCTTCTTAGGAATACAAATCGCCAATCGACACACCTACTGTTTAAACATAACTATGGGAGACTCTCCCATGAGTTCACCCAAACATTTCAATCATGGGGAAGGGAATTTTTATCCTGGCATAGATGAGTAGAGGCATTTAAAATGCCCCTGCTTCCAAAATAACAATATCTACTAATAACTCTTCAGATCCCCATCCCTAAACAATATCTGATGACCTTCCAAAAATTCATTACAAGATTTGTGTGGGTGAACAAAAAGTCCAAAGTTGCACCTCACATACTTAAGAATCCCATTTCAATGGGGGGATGAACGTTCCAGATGTAAAATTATATTACAAGGCCGCGATCCTCTCCACAGTGGCAACCACACACATCACAATCAATGCACCCCAATGGGTAGCCATAGAATCTCACTGGTCATGCAAAGCTGGGTTGCACCACTTATTTGGATGCCAAAAACACTGAGACCTGCGATGCCATAGATACTAGAACCAACCACACTATTACTGAACACATGGGACACATACTGCAAACATGTAGGGGAACCAAACGCAATATCATTGGCCATGACAATATACAGCATATATTTGAGGAACCCGACCTTTGACTATGCCATATGGATAGCAGCGGGATGTACACATGTACACCATCGATACGCTGGAACAACCTTGAAACAGTTTCAAGACCTGCAGGCACAATTTCACCTCCCACACAGGGCAATTTTTTCATATTTGCAACTCAAATCCCTCCTGCAGTCGATTACGCACCACCTTCGGATGCCCACACTCTCCAAATTTGACGCACTCTGCCTTACAGGGACCCCACAAATGAAAATGATCTTGATAATTTACGCAATACTGATTGAGAGTAAATCTGAGTACACTGACAAATTTATGCAAGCATGGCAGGACGATCTTTGCTCCACCTTCACTACAGACCAGTGGAGCCGAGCATTCACAATACACAAAGGAAACATGGCGTGCATCTCACACTTTGAACAAATACGGAAACTACAATACAGGTGGTACTTGGTCCTAACAAGGCTGGCACATATCTATCACATATCTGGCAAGTGTTGGAGATGCAGGTCTGAAATAGGCACGATGTACCACATATGGTGGACATGCAAAATTATCTGCCCAGACTGGACAATGGTGGCTGAAATTCTCACCCACATACTACCCATTCCCCTAAAGTTAACACCTGAACTATGCCTCCTCTT